CCTTTCCATTGCCTTGGCAGGATGGGGGAGCTGCCTGACCCTTGGAGTCTATCCTGGGGTCACAGATCCCTGCTCCACGACCAGAGGTACCAGCACCAGGGTTTACATGTGCTATAAAATAGCTTGATCCTCCCCTGACCTGCATACCATCATGGGGGCCTTATTTCTGGTGCACCTGCACTACGTGGCTCAGCTTCAAGTGGGGCTCTCTGGCCCCATGCTTTTTGGATTCCCGTGTCCCCACTCTCTGACTGCATCTCTGCATGTTCAGGCTGGTTATGGTTATTGCTTCTATGCCTTGTGTTTTTTCAGAGGGCCACCACAAGCAGTCGGACACAGCCAAGCTACACTGTCCATCACCACCTTCTGCAGCAGCTGGTGTCCTATGAGATCCTTCAGCACCAGGTACTGAGCAGGAGAAGCAGCCCTGCAGCAGCTGGGCTGGAGTGAGGGTTTCCTTTGGAGGCCATCACACTTAACACCTTGCTGCAGTGTGATGGGGAGGAGGGTCATGATAGTGCCTGCCTGTGCCTAGCATTCTTACGGGGCACCCATTCCTCCTGTGGACCTGCAAATACACCCTGCCTTGGTGCCTGTTCTGCTCCTCACTCAGCCCAGCTTGCTCCAGGACTCATCACCCACCTTTTGCATCCTTGCAGACCAGCAGCATTTCCTGGGACGGGGAGCTGAGCAGGCATGCCAGCACTGTGCTGTACCTGCATGCCACGCAGAAGGATCTCTCTGACTTCCACCAGGTCATAGCGTGAGTACCCCATGCCCAGGGAGCCATGATGCAGCATCAGGAGGGTCAGGGGCCCTGACACCTTCCCTGGGGATTGTCTGACTGCAGCTAGTCTCTCCCATGAGCTCAGTGTGTCTGCTGTTGCCCTCTGCCCTGAGCAGGACCAGGAGAACTGGGTCTCACCCATGCAATCCTGGCTGTAGCTGGGGTGGGGAGAGAAGCCCCACGCTGGACCCTGAGTGTCACCCAGCCCCCAGGGGCTCAGCCCAGCCTCTCCCTCCTCCCCAGGTGGTGGCTGGTGTACAGCAAGCTCTACCAGACCCTCGAGTTCAACAGCAACTGCCTGCTACATCAGATCACCAGCATTGAGTACCAGTGGGTGCAGGAGCGCCTGAGGCCAGAGCAGGTGAGGGGGGCTCTGGCACTGTGCAGGGGGCAGAAATCAGGGAAATGTGCCCCATGCACCCAACCCCATGCCTCTCCTTGCAGCTCCCATGGCCACTTCTGTCCCTGTGTTCCAGGAAGGGCAGGAGCTTGTGGGCTGCAGGGGTGCTGGGGTGTCTGGAGGGCATTTCTGAGGAGAACCAGCCTCAGGAACCAGGACAACCCAGGGTCAGGGAGCCCCTTTACCCCAGGAATTTGTCCCCTTCTCCATAGATAAGCCCTTACCCTTTCCACTGACATCCCCCCTCCTCCATCACTACCATCAAGTCAATCAACAACCCTCTACAAAACCTAAATATGACCCAATTCCTACTTTTCCCAGCCCATGAGTTTTCCAAGAGCATGCCAGCACCCTGCCGAGACTCCAAATTTTTCAGGCATAACAATGAGGTTTAAGCACAAAGCTCAGTTCAGAGAAGTTACTGGAGGCATCAGGGGGTTTTCCCATCCCTAGAGCATGCTAGAAAGGAACCAGCTCCCTCTGTCACAGTGCCATGGTCCTGCCAGCATCTGTCTGCCACTGAGGTGGACAGTGCATGTTTCCTTCCTTTGTCCCAGAAAGCAGAGCTGGCCGAGTCTTTCCAGTCCTTGCTGACTTATGGGGTCTCCCTTGTTCGGAGGTTCCGCATCATTTTCCCACTCTCTGTCCCAAGGTCCACGGAGAGGCTCCAGTCCCTGCTCCGGTGAGTTGAGCACCAGTGCCATCTGTGCATGGAGTCCTATGGCTTGGCCACCATGATGGACAAGCCTGTAAGCTTGAGCAAAAACCCACGTGAACCCTTTCAGCCCCCTTCTAGGCTGCTGTAACACTTGTTCTGTCTTGTCCCTCATCCTGGGCTCCCTGTGGGGGTTGTTGTTGGGAGGGGAAAGTCTGCTTGGGTAGGGTTTTTGCGGTGAGAAGTGGTGGTTTCTATGGGACTGATGCTGGGTTTCACTAGAGGTTCTTGCTTTGCAGAGTCCTGGTCCAGATGTGCAAAATGAAAGCTTTCCATGAGCTGTGCACACTCAGCCCCAACCTCCCCAACATGGTCTCCACAGCACTGAAGGTAGTGAGACCAGGGGTCTCACCTCCCCAGCCCTGAGCAGGTGGGACCCTGCCCACGCAAAAGCCACATGGACCACCATGAAGGAGGGAAATACCTGCCCCTCTTAAACTTGATGGTCCCAGCCTATGGTTCCCACCACATGGGGCTGGGGCCTGACACACCCAGGGGACAGAGAGAGTGAAGGAGGTGGCAGAGCTGGCTTTGCTCCTCTTGCTTCCCTGCCATCACACCATGATTCCTTTCTTGCCAGTCAGGCACAACAGAATGGTTTCATATGAAGAAGCAGCACCTCAAGCCCATGGTGAAGGTCAGTTCCCATCTCTGCCTCTCTGACATTATAAGAAACAGTTTTCTGGGCTGGGGATGAGAGGCCTGAGGCAGTGGGAAGAGAAGACTGAGATGAGGCTTCTCCAGTTATCTGACACAGTCAAGGCATTCAGGTTTCCATCTTAAAAATACCATGAGCCATGCTATCTGCAGCTGCCAAGGTGCCTTGAAGGTTAAGGCCTTGCTGCAATGCTCAGGGGAACAAGAGGTGGTCCTCAGTCCAGCCATGCAAGCACATGATGACATTGGATGTTACCAACACCTTCTTGGTGCTTAGTGGATCTAATGATAGATTGCTACCTCCCAAAAACAGATCATAGAAATAAATCAGATCAGAACAGAGCCCAGGTCATCTCAAAATCACTGAGCATCGAAAACAAGCTATTCTTTCCTTTGCAGAGCATGGAGGAGAATGGCAAAGCCTTGTCCAAACTCCTCCTGGAGGTATTAGGAGATCTCCAACAGTGCCAGAAAATCTGGAATAGATTTTTCATCAGGTACGTTTTAGAGCTTGATTCCCCCCATCTCTGGGGTGAAGAGCAACAGGACACTTTGATGCCTCATTCCTTGGTTCTTGGGCTCCACAGATAGCATCTGTGGTCCCACCTCTGCTTCTTAGACCTGTACTGTCCCTGCCATTATGGGATGGGCATGGCCTAAGAGGGTTTGCTGGGCTCGAGCTGCCAGGCTCCTGACTCCCTGTTTCTCTCTTGCAGCACCTTGAAGTTGAATCTCTTCTCCATTGCCTACCTGGAGCTGGAGAGGCTGGTGAGCAAGCCTGGACTGCTCTGCACTTGTAGACTAATGTCAAAAGCCAGGCTGAGGTTTTTGACCACCCTTCAGGTAGCAAATGTTTGTTGCAAGCTTGGAAAGGGAGCAAACCAGGGAAACTCTCCATTTTTCCCTGTGAGCCCATGAAGTGACTACCACCTGCTTACTTGACCTAATGAATCTCCTGAAATGCCACCCAAAAGGAAGAGGAGTCCCCTGAGCTGATCGTCACCCATGGCTCTGGGGAGCCCCAACCAGACCAAGCCTTCCTGGCTGGACCCTCACTAACAACTGTCCTCGTTCCCTTGCTCACTATCAGGTCGCGGAGCATGTCCAGGAACAGCTACGCGAGGTCAACAGCAGCATGTCCAAACCCACAGCTGAGAGCCTTTTCCAGCTCTACATGAACCTCCAGGAGCTCTATCGGATGAAGGACTTCCTCCCAGACAGGTATCCAACCCAGAGAGAGGGGAGATGCTGAAGCAAGGGAATGAGCAGTTTCACTGGGAGGAACTCCAAATCCTTCCAATTCACCTACATCAGTACTTACACACAAGGCAGACAGGGCTGTTGGTGTCTGGTGTTGACGTGAGCATCACCAGAAGGGTTTCAGGCTCTTCTCTGAGTGGGCCTGATGGAGACCTCAACTTTCAGACAAGTGGAGGTTTCTCCTTAGCATGTTGCTGCATGCTGCCTCCACCTCAGGTCAGTTTCTTGTGTGTGAGAGCAAGGAGGGCTGATGGTCTGTGCTGTTGCTGTGCAGTTGGAGAAGCTGTTGCCTTCATCCACAGGGATGGACCTCTGGCTCTGAACAATTTCCACCAGTGGTTCAAGGAAGGTGTGCCCCAGTGGCTGCAGAAGGCCTACACCATCGCACTGGAGAGGGTACAGAGAGCTGTCCAAATGGACCAGGTAACCTAGGGAGGAGGAGAGCATCTCCTTGCATCCTTTGGGGACACTCCAGCTCCCTCCATGCCTTGCTGCTGTGCCCGGCTCACAGCATTGAGACTACCACGTAGGTGCCTCTTGCAGCCCAGGAGCAGGCTGGTTCCTCTTCCAAATTCATAACAAAGGATGGGGTGCCCTGGAGCAGTTGATCCCACCCATGCCCCTTCCCCTGCTGTTCTCTGGCAGCCTGAGCAAGCTGATGAGCCTGCATTTGTGCCATGCTGTGAGCATCCCCTTCATTTCTGACCTTTAGGAAGACGGGAGGGAAGGCAGTTATGGGATGATGGGCTCCTTGCCCTATTCTTCAGTGTGTTCCAACAATGCTGAGTGGAGTACAGTGGAGGACAGCCCAATGCAGGGACCTCAGGCTACTTCATCTGTCCTCATCTCCTCCACTCTCCAAAGTGACTGGGTGGTGACACTGGGATATATGGAGCTCATTATGGGCCCCAAAGTAAAGGAGCAGCTCTCCTGTGTGGGATGGCCTCTTTCAATACAAGCCAAGTTGCATCTACTTTCTCTGCCCCTTCAGCTGACACCCTTCGGGGAGCACAACAAGCACAGCACTTCCACTGTTGACCTGTCCACCTGCTATGCCCAGATTGTGCAGACCTGGCAGCAGCTCAACTGGCCGGACCCTGAGGAAGCCTTCATGATCATGGTGAAGCTTGTGGAGGTTTGTACACCAGGGTCTGCCAACAAATACCATGCTCATGGGCATCAACAAAGTTTCTTCTGCTCTTGGAGACCTGTCTCCATGAATGGGGCCTGTGTCCCATGCTGATGTGGTGGGGTCCCCTGACCCCACAGTGGTGCCCATGCTGCCCAGCTCAGTCTTGTTGGCTTCTTTTCTATCTCACAGGACATGTGTAGAATTGCCCTGATGTACTGCCGGCTCATCAAGGGGAGGGCTGAGGCTCTGTCGCTGAGCAAGCAGAATGAAGGCGAAGCGGCCAACAGGGTTGGTATTGGGTCAGGGTCCTGTGTAGGGAGAGGTGGGATTTGGCCATGGTTTCTGGGCAAAGAGGGAGACAAGCTGCTGAGCATCCAGCCGACATCCCAAGTTTGGGTTTCATAGAGATTGGTTGGCCCCTGATAGCCACAACCCTGGAAAATCAGGAGGGAAATGATGTGAGCAGGGGTAGTGGGATGAGAATGGGCAATGGGAATAGCAATGGAGATAGGACTGGGCATGGGGGGATGCACCAGGGGGTGTGGGACACCCTGAAGCAGACCTATTTCCCCCAGCTCTGTATCGTGGTGAACAACATCAAGCAGCTGCGCCTGCTGATCCTGAAGCTGCCATCACAGCTGGACTGGGTGCAGCTGGAGCAGCACACAGGACCTGTCATTGACCAGCAGCAGATCCAGCACACGCTGCACAACCAGCTTGACAGCACCATCTCCTGCCTGGACCATGAGGTCCAGGAGGTGGTACAAGCCCTGGCCACCAAGGTAACCACCTGCCACTGGCTCCCGGCCCACCAGGCCACCCCCCTGCCACTGGCTCCCCCTTGGCCCTTGCCGGGCCCAAAAGTGGGGAGGTTTCACCCAAGGGAGCCTGGAGACCGTAATGCTCCTGAGCTGGAGATAAGAATGGACCTGTGCAGAGGGAAAAGCCCATGAACCTCTGTGCATTTCTCCCTGGCAGCTGGAAAAGGGCATTGCCAGACACATCCAGGAGCTCTCATCTTCTAATGACACCCAGGAGCCTGAGGATGTGAGTACCTGGCCCAGTTCCTCCTGGACCATCTTTTTTGGGCAGCCATGAATAACTTTTGCCTACTTGGTAGAGGCCCCTGTTACCCTTCCCCAGCTCTCCCTGCCCCATGCCCAGGGCACAAGACACACCACCAATGGGACCCAGACATTCAAATGCTCACATCTGATGCCAATGTCAGCAGCAGCACCACACAGGGCACAGCCTGTCCATGTCTTCACTGCGGGAGGGAGCCCTGGAACCACCTCTGCCCTGCTGGCTCCAGCTAGCAGTGCTCTGCCCCTCTCCCTGCTGTGATCTGCTGGATTTGCCCTCCCCAGTGCTCTGCTCTTCTCGCTGCAGTCCATCATCCCCCTCATGAAGTTCCTGGAGTCGGAGCTGCAGTATCTCAATGAGCATCTGGTCCACGAAAACTTCAAAAGGTGACCACAGCACTGGGGATGCACCATGGCAGAGGCCAGGTCCCATGGGTCTTGGGAACATCCTGCTCTGGGCTGGCTGCTCAGCGCTGTGGAATAAGCCCGTTCTCTCTGTGGCTTTGCAAAGCCTTTCGGCTGAGGATTAACCTCCCCAACCCATTCCCTGGGATCCCTGCTCACAGCCTTTCCTTCCTTGCCCCTGCAGCCTCCTCACTCTCCTCTGGCATCACACCTTGGCCGTGCTGTCAGCAGCCACGGGGCAGCAGGTCCCCTCAGTCCAGTGCTACAGGAAGCTGCACTGTGCCCTGAAGGTACCAAGAGGGGAGCTGGGGAGTCCCTGGCAGAGCTGGGGGTTCGGTTACTGGCTAACAGCATCCTTCTCCCCAGAGCCTGGAACTGTGCTTCCATGCCGAGGGCTGTGGGCTGCCGCTGGAGATGCTCCACACAGCAGTCTTCCAGGTACAAGGTGCTGGTGATAGTGGAGGGGGGTGTGTGCCCCCAGGGGTTTCCTTTGGGTGGTCTCCAGGGACATCCCTGGACTGTGGACCTGTTGTGTGTTTGACTGTCACCTCTTACCCTCCCTGCAGTCTCTGGAGACCCGCCTGGACCTCTGCTCTGCCACCAGCCGTAAACTCATCCAGAAATACTTCAGCAACAGGATCCAGCAGCAGGTAGGAGCCAGGATGGTGCCCCCAGGCCCTTCCTACATCCCACCCTTGCACATGCAAGGCTGCCTGGCACAGCTTGCCTGTGGAAAAGTGCAATTTCCCCACCACCCTCCCAGTCCTGGGGCTTTTTAGGCTGGTTTTGCTCCAGTGGCAGGAGGAAGAGAGCTCAACTGCATCGCAAAGAACACCCATCACCCCCTCATTACCCCAAAATGCCTGCTCAGCCTGCACCAGACACTGGGCATCCCCTCCATGAGCATGCTGAAAGGCAGCACCTTATTCTTGTACCCCCCACTCAGCTGGACACCAGCTCGGAGAAGTACGGGGCCGTGACCATCAAAGCACTGTACTGCCCTTCAGAGCAGAAACTCCGTGTGGAAGTGCTCAATGCTGTCAACCTCATCCCTATGGACTCTAACGGTGGGTGGGGTGGGCTGGGGAGGCCCACCGTCTTGGGACCCCCTGTCCTTGTTCCCCTATATGTCCCTGGGTATGAGAGATACCGACAATGCTTGGAGTAATGGGACTCTCTCTCTCTTTGCATCCAAGGAGGTGGGTTTGAGAAAGAAGGGAGGTTATTGCACTGGTGTGGCATTGTCCAGTGGGATGTGGCAGGCAGGACACACATACTACTGCCTTCAGTTTGCAGGACAAGCTATCAGCCAGGGCAGGCATCTTTTTTCTATCATGCGAACCATGTCTTGGCCCCAGAAAACTATGCCAGGGTGACAAGAGACAGTCTCCCAGGTTGGCTGACATTTGGGGATGTCTTCAGGAGAAGTCACTCCTCTTGCAGCCTATGGCCCATCGACAGTGGTCAGGGTTGGGGATGTTCCTGCACCCTCCCAGGATCTGGGCTGGGGGGCAGCAGGAGGGGGCTCACGCCTGCTCCCCACTAGGCTCCAGTGACCCCTTCGTCCAGCTCACCCTGGAGCCCCGGCATGTGTTCCCCGAAGTAGTGGCCCGGACTACCCAGTGCAAGAGGAATGAGCTGCACCCCCTCTTTGATGAAGCCTTTGACTTGTATGTAGGGGCTGATATTCCTGCCTCCCTCCCTCCCCCAATCCCTTCAGCTTTCCACACTTCAAGTGAGCTCTGGCTCTGGGGCTGCTGCTCTGGGAACTGTGTCCTGTCCTGGGATTTCACCCCCCTCTCAGCTGTGGGATCCCATGGTGGGAGCTGGGGTAGGTGCATCCTCAATGCCTGGGTCCCACAGGATAGTGTGGGGCTGTGCAGGACCCCTGTGCTTGTTGAGGCCAGTGCAGGGAAGGCGGGGGGGAGGGACATCACAGTGGGGAAGCCTGTTTGGTCCCTGGGGGGAAGGTTGAATTCTGGGATGTGATGGTCCCTGCATCCCATCTCCCTGCAGCTTGATCCCCGCCGAGAAGTGCCGGCGGGAGGGTGCCTGCCTGCTCCTGACTGTGTTTGACTATGACACGCTGGGGGCCAATGACCTGGAGGGGGAAGCCTTCTTCCCCCTTTGCCACCTGCCTGGCCTCAACACCAATGAGGACCCGGTTGATACAGGACGAGTGCCCCAGACTCGCCTCCCCCTCACCCACCCCAAACCCACTGGTATGTGGTGCCCCAGACAGCCAGGCTGAGCCCCCACCAGCCCCACAGCATGAGGAGGGACTGTGGTGAGCATCTCCCACCACCGTTCCCCTCCTCTTTGGCAGGAGTTGAGATTCTCCAGCTACTGGAGTCCAGGAAGGGGGACAAAGAAGCTCAGGCCTTCGTTAAGCTCCGCAAGCAACGAGCCAAGCAGTCCAAGGAGACAAAGTGAGGCAGAGGGGCCTGAAATGAGGGGTGTCCAGCCAGTGGGACCCCTCTGGAATTTTCCTGGTACTGGAGCTAGAGCCATCTGCAGGGACCAGGAGGAAGAGGAGGTTCCTGTGCCCTGCAACCCTTCCCAGCACCCACCTCACCCACACCCTTGGGTAGCAGTGCTCCTGTGAGGCTGGGGAAGGTGGACACCCAGTATTTCAGGGCATTGCTTTGCCTGTCTGGACTAGCAACACTACTCTGAGGATGTGGAATTGCCTGGCTGTCCCTGCCCATCCCCATTAGCTTGTCACTGCTGGTGCCACATCGCTTGGCCATGTCCCCAACACTCCTGTCTGCAGCACAGTCTCAGAGCAAAGTAAGGACATCGTCATTTATTTTGGGTGGGGACATGGGGACAACCAGTGGTCAAACCCGCTTTTTTTTTTTTTGCTCCCCCTCCCCGCCCCCCCCCAATCTATTCTTTTCCCTCTTCTTTCCTGTGGATAAGCATCTAATTTTAAATTAAAAGCAACAAAGCTTATGTGTGGGCTGAGTCTGTGCAGGGAGTGCTTTAGGTGATGGCCCTGTGCTGGGCAGCAGCTGTGGCAGCAGCATGGCAGGGTGGGTCAAGGTATGTGGGGTACAGTGGGGGCTGCCATCCTTGATGGGTTTAAGCCAGAAAGAGGCAGCCAGCTGCAGGATTTCAGAGGGAGGAGATGGCACATGAATGATTTTGTCCAAGTTTCCCACTGGAAAGAGGATGAGAAGCTGCAATGGTGCTGAGCCCAGCACCACTGGGAAGGAGCTGTGCTGGCACCGGGAGGCAGCCAGGTCCCTCACACGGGGTCCAGCAGTGGCTGGGGCCGGGGGGGGCGTTTTTGTTC